CCCATACTAAGCGGTAGGAGACCTAAGTCTTACTCTCGTTGATCAAAGATTAGTGATGTGATCTCACCAAGTTTCCTGTTTTTGTATTTCTTAAATGGGAGATGGAATTAGATCAGTGGTTTTAACTGTTTCATACAAGAAGACCAATTTTTGTCAATTCTAGTGAGTACCCACACTTTGAAAACTATCATCAATAATTTTGTAATAAATACAAAAGAATTGTATTTATTAACAATTACTTTGTTTTCCCTTTTTTCTTTTAATTGTAAGTAGTTTATTTTGCCAGGAGTCAGACCTTATTTTCCCATAAGTTAACGTAAGTTCATGAATTACATGCAACCAAAAGTAATTGTCATTAACCTGTGCAGCTTTATAATTGGCTTTTTTTACTTTTAAGTTCAGGGGTACATGTGCAGGTTTTTTAACATAGGTAAACCTGTGTCATGGGGGTTTGTTGTATAGATTATTTCATTTGTTTTCCATTTTTAACTGATTAAGTCAAATGAGAGGTGTTAGTTTCAGCAAGGTCCTTTCTGACTCCTTTCTCTAGATTCCACTCTTTTTCTGTGTCACATCATTGATTATTTTTCTTTCTTCATCCTAGCCACCATATGTTTTTTAATAATTCTACCTGTCTACTCGGTTTTGTCTATCTGGGCCTCTACAAAGAAAACTTCTACATGGGCCAGGAACTCATCTGCCTATCCATCTGTGTATCTTCAGGGTCTAGCATCAAGTAGGTGTTTAATGAAGTTCTTGAACTAAAGAATAAACTGATTTACTGGTATTGATGAGCCTTTTCATTCCTGCTATTATATGGTAAACACATCATTTCAATTTGGCTTTTTAAAGTATTGAAAATAACTTGAAGAACTCCAATTCTGCTTTTTAGAAGTCTGGACACTCCATGATGGAAATCACCTGATGGAATTACCTCTAAGCTCTCATCCGCTTCTAAAATTTTACTATCATCTGGTGGTTTCTTTTGCAAAACTGACTGGAGAGATTCTGTGAAGGCCAGGCACTAGACAGTGTTCTTCCGCACAGAAGCACTTCAGAGGGAGTCAAGGATGCTCAGCTGCCATCGACTCTAGACACGGTGATCCTCAAGGCCAGGTAACTTAACTGCACTCATGATGGACAGACTTCTAGGCAGCAGAATGTCTCTCCCCTTGACGGTAAAAAGTCAACTTCCTGTGCCATTGCTAACCTACACCCTTTCTACTCCGTTAATGTACAGATTACAGAAGTGTGTGATTTTCTTTTCGCCCTCTCATTCAGAGAAACATGCTTGGATATATCCCTTTATGAAGTTAAACATTAGTTTTCTAACACCTCACAAATATTCTGGAAAGCCACACATGTAGCTGTAAAGATAGAAGGAAGGCAAGATGGGGCAAAAAAAAAAGGCTGAATTATGGTGCCATTGCCATGGATACCTCAACCAATCCCATGGGACTCTGAAGCTGGGAATGATCCTTCTTAGTTGTCCCAAACTGACCCAAAGATCAAGCCATTGGCTCACCACATCAGCCTTGCCTTCGCCCCTGACCGCCCCTGTAACCTGGAGTGAGGCAGCAGAAGGCAAGTCGATCGAGGAGCACAGCTGTGAGCTCTTTGCAGCTGGGGGATGGGAAGGCAGGCCCTGGAAAGGAATCCAGAAGGAGCATCATGGTATGTCTCTAACTTTCAACTGGGGCTGCTATCATGTTCTAGCATGCTTCATTTGCCAGAATGGAAGAGAACAATTTGCCTAGCCAGGACTGTGTTGCATTTAGCAAAGGATGAATTAAACAACAAATACAAATGAGCTGACCCTCCATTAGCCAAGTTTCCTAACAGGGCAGCCACTCCAAAAAATAACCCCTAGAGGAGCGGTGCCACCACCGGCTTGGGAGTGAAAGTCCCTTGCAATTGCCGACTGTTGGAAGGGCTGGAACAAGGCCAGAAAGGAGTAGGTTATGGCACAGGTGGCTGGGGTCTAGAAGAGGATGAAGACATGAAACTTACAAGATGGACAGGGACAATAACGGGGGCTCCAAGAACAATTGATGAAAACCGAATATACAGCCTTAAAATGGAACGTGGACCTAAATACCCAGGAGCACCCTACTTTGTAAGATTTGAAACAAAATTTAATATGAATGGAGTTAAGAGTTCTAATGGAGTGGTGGACCAAGGGCCTTATCAGTGCTAGCAAAATGGCAGAATTCATATAGCATCAAAGTGGTTCTGCTGGTGTGAGCTGGCTGAAGGATATAAAATACCTTAAAAAAATAAGAGATACAAAGTTGTTTTGCAAGAGCTTCAGCATCTAATGATGTCTAAAGAATATATGAAACTCCCTCAGCTACCTGAAGGGCACTGTGGTAGCAGTTATCAAAAAGCGAAACCACAGGGCCTTCCCCTCCTCCCTCATTCAGTTTAAGCAATCTGCATTTTTCACAGAGGTAAATTTTCTAGGTATATCTTGTAGACCTGAAAGTACTGGAAAGAAAGCTTCTGTTCAAAGGAAATATATCTTAAGATACTGTAAATGATACTAATTTTTTGTCCATTTGAAATATATCAGTTGTGCTATAACAAATCATCATGTCAAGTGTAACCACTGTTCACAGTTGAGATTCTGGGATCAAGAAAGTCCGTTTAAATTGATTCCCATCACAACTGGTGGGACATGTCTAACTCAGCTGTAAAAACACACATCACACAATCACCTTGCTGCTGATGACATGGCCTGGGGTCTCTGCCGTCTCCCCCGTCACCCCGCCCAACAGCCCTGTAGCCTGGGAGAGCTTGTTAGAGTAGATGGGATGATTGAGAGTTGCAGCCTGTGGAACTACTGCTGAGTATGTGGAGTGCTTTGCCTGCATCCCTGGTTTTTTTCTCTAAGTCTTAAATGATGCCCCTTCCAAGCCATCCTCTCGTCCCCACACTCCTCCGCTCCCACTCTTGCCAAAGCACAGACTGTAACCCCTCCACTCCCCTCTGAGATTGGCCTGTGGTGAGGAATTCAGGGATCTCCCCGAATCTTCTCTCCCCCACTTTATCGAGGGTGCTGTATTTTCCTCCCCCTTCCTCAAGTCCCTTTTGGACTGTCACCACCCAATACTTTCCATGACAGTTTTCTTGCTTTGGCCAAAAGCCAGGTAAACTTGGAACGGTCTCTGACCTCCCTTGTTTAGTTTTGGAACTGCATTTATTCACTTGCCACCAGCCTGGGAAGTGAGTATCAGGTCCTCAGCCCTGCCACCCTGTGCTGTCATCATCAGCTGATGAGATTTTTTGGCTCGGATTTTGATAAGGTGAAAAGAACAGTCAACCAGGGTTACTCAGACCTGCCAGCTCTCAGAGTCTTTGGTGGTTAAACTTGGAAAAAGGCCTCACAAAGACACTTGGAAGCACACATGATCCCTCTGAATTGTTTTCTTTTCCTTTCATTTCTTCTTCAACTTTTAAAAATTGAAGAAGTTTTAAACAGGGCTCTATCTGCTCATCCTTGCAATCTATTGGGATCTAGTTTAGAATCTGGCAGCTGGAACATAAAGAACTTTGAATTCAGCACATCCTTTGGTTTTGGTGGTGCTGCGTCTCAAGATCCTCAGCAGCGATTAAAGAACTCTATGTGCACAGCAGATCCTGGAAATTGGTGGGTTTGACTTCCTGGCAAAGTGCTGCATTTTTCCACTTTCTGTTCAGGACCACTAAATGCTGAAGTGTGGATGCATACCAAAATAAACACAATTCATTGTGTACTGAAAGAAAACAAAAAGCAGCACTAGAGGAAGGTTTCCTAACACTTCTCTGTCACTCTCTCAGTCTTTCTCTGTCTCTCCTCCCGCCTCCCTCTTCCCGCCCCACCCACCTCTTACCTTCTTTCTTTTTCTTGTCCTCTTCTCTGTTAGTTTTATTCTTGAGCTCAGCTGTCAGAGGCAGCCTTTGATGGATATGTGGTTGGTCCTTTCAGCTCATCTGGAGAAGGATGCTCAGGTGCCATCGGACTCCAGACACGGTGATCCTCGAGGCCAGGCAGTTTAACTGCACTAATGATGGACAGACTTTAAGGCAGCAGAACGTCTCTCCCCTTGAAGATAAAAAGTCAGGGAGGGATGAGGCTTGGGTGAGGAAAGGAAGTGAGGAACTTAAAGGGATGGAGGGATGGGAAGGAGAAGGTGTCCTCTTTTCAAGTCAATAGAGTCAGAATCCTTTTGCTGACCAGAAGCATACATATGATGGCTGTTTTAAGTAGAAGGAAAGGACCCAATCTTCTGAGGATACAGAATTTAAAGTTGAGCGAGGTGGCACCCAAAGTTCTGTATTGCAGAAAGGGAGGCATTCTGATCTTGCAGATGAAAGGAGTGTTTCTCTGATATCAAACAGCACAGGAAATGTATCCTGTGTTGTTTCCATTTGTCTCTACAGACCAATGAGTCATTCTGAAGAATTAAACTTACATTCAATGTTAGAAAGGTCAGGGGTGGTTGAAATTGTGCTGGTCTTGACTTCATGAGCTTGCTTTTCAGAACTCACAGAAATATCTTGCCAACCCCTGCTTTAGGTGGTCTCTACTTGCTTCTTCAACTCATTGACTAGTAGTGAGCATTGCATGTCTCATGCTGAATTGCAAAGGAGAATTTATTTTTTTCACTGTTTAAGGAATTTTTATTAAAGCAAGAATTTTATAACCCAAATTATGTTTACTTGCTCAGTTTTCAATTCTGTTACTTAAAACAGAACTGACATTTTGAGCTACTCCACAGTAAAGAATTACAAAATTAAAGAAAGGAATGCTTTAAATTTTTGTACTTTGCTGAAAATTCTTTTTCCCAAGGTCTATAAAACATTAATTTGTTTTTATATTTTACTATTTTTTGTTGTTGTTCTCACAATAAGTAATCTAGGACTAGCATTATATTTGCTAGACTTGGCATTTGCTCGGTACATAAGTTTCAAAGTTTCCTTTCCTTTTTTAATTTATTTTATATTTTGCAATTTTTTTCCATAATATTTAAGTTTTTCGATGTTTAGATATTTTTCTTCAGTGAAGCACAAGTTTCTTTTCGTGGTCTCTGATCAATTTTAAACAGTTGGAACACCGGTGGCACTGTTAAAGGCTTTCTGGACAGCCTCTTTAGCTTGGTGGGCTACAACTTCATCAACCTTAGAACGGAGTGACCCTGGAGACTCAAGCATATGAAGAAGTTCTGAATTATCAATCTCCAACAATATGTCAGTGATTTTACCAGCAAGAGAAAGGTGCACAGCTTGAATAAGAGGAAACAACCATTCACCCAACATTTGCTTTGCTCTTGAGGAGGGGCAGATGCCAACATGGAAGCAGTCAAAGGTTCTTGACCGTGAACAGCAGGCTGTTGCATTGTAACTTGTGGCTGTGCTTTAAGATGTTGTTGAGGATTGCGAACTCTCGCAGCATTTTTATACTGTGGAACCGTGTGGACAGCAGGAGTAGCAGCAGCAGCTGCAGCTGCAGCTGCAGGATGTGGACCCATTGTCTGGATTGATGTGTTAGCAACACGCTGTGTTGACATGACTCATGGAACCTGTGAAGAAGCTGGTCTCATAGTACTAAATGGTGGTCTAGGAGCAGCTGGGCGGATAGCACTGGGCATATTTTGGAATGGATGAGGTCTGGCACCCTGAGCAGTCCAGTGAGGACTTGGTCTTAGTTGAGCAATTTGGCTAGGAGGATAGTATGCAGCACGGTTCTGAGTCTGTGGGATAGCTGCCATGAAGTAGCCCGAAGGAGGTGCCGGCTGGTAGGGGTTGATTGCAGGGTTGGGCACAGCTCGTACACTTGCCATTCTCTGCATATACTGGTTAGTGAGGTGAGCCTGGCGCTCTTCTTTGCACTGAGCTAAAGCTATATACAATGGCTTTGTGGCCACAATTCTACAGTTCATTTCTGTAACTGCTTTAGTAGCTTCTTCTGGGGAGGAGAAACATGCAAAACCAAACCCTTTGCTGTACCAAATGGAGAAACTCTTTACGAAGACGTTCATCATCAATACCATCATCAAGATTTTTCACATAAAGATTAACACCCTGGTATCTGGTGATCCTATCTTGCTTCATCTGTTCAAATTTGCGTTTAAGTTCCGTCTGCCGTTCCACCCTTTTCTGAGCTCGACCAACATAAATTTGTTTTCCATTGAGCTCCTTTCCATTCATCTCATCCACAGCTTTCTGTGCATCTTCATGCCTTTCAAAGCTTACAAATCCAAATCCTTTGGATTTTCCACTTTCATCAGTCATTACTTTCACACTTAAGGCAGGCCCAAACTTGCCAAAGAGATCCTTAAGGAGTTAATCATCCATGTCTTATCCAAAATTCTTGATGTAAACATTGGTGAACTCTTTTGCCCTAGCTCCAAGTTCAGCTTTTCTTTCTTTAGGAGACTTAAATCGTCCAAGAAATACTTTGTGACCATTTAGGAGCATTCCATTCATTTTTCAATAGCTCTTTCAGCTGCTTCCTGCGTCTCAAAGTGTACAAATCCACAGCCCTTGGAACCATTTTCATCACAAACCACCTTTCATGAAAGGATGTTACCAAAAGCACAAAATGTATCATACAGTGCTTTATTATCAATGGATTTGTCCAGATTTTTAATGAATATGTTGCCCACTCCACTTTTTCGAAGTGATGGATCACGCTGAGACCACACGATGGGTACTGGCTTGCCCTTTATAACATCAAAATTCATGGTGTTCAAAGCATGCTCCGCGCCAGCCGGCTGCTGGAAGTTCACATAGGGGTAGCCCAAGGAGCGGTGGGTGATCATGTCCCTGCAGACTCGGATGGAAAGGATGGGCACGGCCGGGCTGAACTTCTCGTAGACCATCGCCCCGGTCACGTCGGGGTGGAGGTACCCCACGTAGAGCGAGGCCATGGGGTAGCTGGGGGCGTTGGGGTTCATTTCCCCAGGGCTTCCCGCAGGGCCACAGGCCGCGGGCGTTTCAGTGAGAAGAGAGCAAGTGCTGGGGCCGGGGGCGGAGCCAGGGGGGAGGGAAGCGGGGGCAAGCGCAGAGGGACAAAAATCATCCAAAATCAAAAACTACTCAACGGGCCGTAGAACCGGGTCAATCGGCTGCCGCTGACTGCCGGCTGCCTGTGGGGAGCGAGGGTGGTGATGTCGGGTCCAGGCAGCGGGAAGTCGTGGGTTTCTCGGTTCTTTCTTGGAGCTGCTGTGGGGCCGCGGGTGGACAGGTCAGCCTCCACTGCTTCACCGGGTTATTTTATAAAAGAGGAAGAAAAAAAATAAAAGTCTCTGGTGGGGGAGATGCGGATTTTTTGTAAATTTTGCGGGGTTTTTTAAAGATTATTTATTTTTATTTTTTTTTGGATTTTTAAATAATAAATGTGTGTTCCAAGCCTGGAGCACACACTCCACATTCTCAGCACTAACTGCCAGGGAGAACGGGGAATTTGTTTTCCATTTTTTTGTGTGTAAAATATACCTATTACTCAGATTCCAGGGAATAGCCATTGTAGAAATGTATTCTAAATGTTGTATTTCAAGACAGACTTATTTATGCAATTGTTACCACGTGGAACATCTTGACTGTGAGTTGTCCAGGTTCTTAGCACGTTGAAAAAAGAACTGAACAAAATCCACAAAGCAACAAAAGAATGAAGTAACTCTCCTTGAGGAGGTCCTTTACAAAATAAGAGAGGACACAAACAGATGGAGAAACATTCCATGCTCTTGGTTAGGAAGAATCAATATTGTGAAAATGGCCATACTGCCCAAAGTAATTTATAGATTCAACATTATCCCCATCAAGCTACCAATGACCTTCTTCAAAGAAACGGGAAAAAACCACCTTAAACTTCATATGGAACCAAAAGAGAGCCCACATAGCCAAGTCAATTTAAGCAAAAAGAACAAAGCTGGAGGCATCACACTACCTAACTTTAAACTATATTACAAGGCCACAGTAATCAAAACAGCATGGTACTGGTACCAAAACAGAGATACAGACCAATGGAACAGAACAGAGGCCTCAGAGGCAATGCCACACATCTGCAACCATCTATCTTTGACAAACCTCACAAAAACAAGCAATGGGGAAATGATTCTCTGTTTAATAAATGGTATTGGGAAAACTGGCTAGCCATATGCAGAAAGCAGAAACTGAACCCCTTCCTGACACCTTACACTAAAATTAACTCCAGAAGGATTAAAGACTTAAACATAAGACCTAACACCATGAAAACCCTGGAAGAAAACCTAGGCAAAACCATTCAGGACTTAGGCATAGGCAAGGACTTCATGACTAAAACACCAAAAGCATTGGCAACAAAAGCCAAAATAGACAAATGGGACCTAATTAAACTCCAGAGCTTCTGCACAGCAAAAGAAACAATCATCAGAGTGAATCGGCAACCAACAAAATGGAAAAAAAATTTTGAAATCTAACCATCTGACAAAGGGCTAATATCCAGAATCTACAAAGAACTAAAACAAATTTACAAGGAAAAAACAAGCCCAATCAGAAGTTGGCGAAGGATATGAACAGACACTACAAAAGAAGACATACATGAGGCCAACAAACATGAAACAATGCTCATCATCACTGGTCATTAGAGAAATGCAAATCAAAACTAGATTGAGATACCATCTCACGCCAGTTAGAATGGTGATCATTAAAAAATCTGGAGACAACAGAAGCTGGAGAGGATGTGGAGAAATAGGAACACTTTTACACTGTTGGTGGGAGTGTAAATTAGTTCAACCATTGTGGAAGACAGTGTGGCAATTCCTCAAGGACCTAGAAATAGAAATTCCATTTGACACAGCAATCCCATTACTGGCTATATAGCCAAAGGATTATAAATCATTCTATTATAAGGACATATGCACACGAATGTTCATTGCAGCACTGTTTACAATAGCAAAGACTTGGAACCAACCCAAATGCCCATCGATGATAGACTGGACAGGGAAAATATGGCACATATACACCATGGAATACTAAGCAGCCATAAAAAACGATGAGTTCGTGCCCTTTGTAGGGACATGAACCTGGAAACCATCATTCTCAGCAAACTGACACAAAACAGAAAATCAAACACCACATGTTCTCACTCATAGGTGGGTGTTGAATAATGAGAACACATGGACACAGAGAAGGAAGCATCACACACTGGGGTCTGTGGGGGAAAAGTAGGGGAGGGACAGTGGGAGGTGGGGAGTTGGGGAGGGATAACATGGGGAGAAATGCCAGATATAGGTGAAGAGGAAGGCAGCAAACTACTTTGCCATGTATTACCTATGCAACAGTCTTGCATGTTCTTCACATGTGCCCCAAAATCTGAAACGCAATAAAATATATATATATATATAAATTAAAAATAAAAGAACAAAGTAACAACTGCACAGATTTATTAAAGCAAAAGTATTTCCCACAGACTAGGAGCAGGCTTCAGCAAGCAGTTCAAGAGCGCCCCCCCACCCACCCATTAGGATTTTATTAAGCTGCAAAAGTTTGGTAATGCCCTACATGCCCTTTAGAGGCCTCCAATTGGTCACACCCTATGAAGGATTGGCCTATGACCAATCAGTGGCTGAAGTAGAAACTTCTGTCTTGTTATCGCAGGAGGTAGGTTGCCTGCCGCATGCTGCTTAATCTTGCCTAGAACTGGCTGCACCTGCTGTTCTTTTGCTTATGCCTTAACCCTTGGTTACCCTAATTCCGTATTCTCCTGCCTCACAAGGACTCACTCCTTTGACAGTTACCCTTTCCCTTTCAAGGAGGCATGAGAAAACCTCTAATCAGACTCATGAGAAAAACTAGAATATGACCACAGGAGGCAGTGGTCATAAAGAAAGCCCCCAGGTCACATACGGCCCATGATTCCCAGCCTTCCTGCCTGTCCCCACCATTCCCTCAGCTTAGGGGATAGCTAGGATCTCTTGAGAATCTATAAATTAAGAAGACAAAGAGGAAGAAGTTGAGGAAATCAATAACAAGTTGGGACCACTAAGCCCACCTTTTTGACCCCATCTGTGGTGGGGGCTGGGAGCTGTGGCTCTCTAGCTCCCAGGTGATAGCTCAGGCCTTATGGTAAGGACATGGGCTCGAACATTGCAGAGAGCCTGGCATGGAGTCCTAGTCTCACGACTTAACCTGCTATGTTCTTGGGGTATGTTATTTAATTTCCTGGCACCTAAGTTATTTTACTGAATAAAATGGGGATATGACAGTACCACCTCTCAAGCTTAGTATGAGAATTAAAAGAAATAATGCATTCAAATGCAGGCTCCATGAGATTAGGGACATTTATTTCATTTGAACTATAACACCTAGTGTTCACTACTGAGTCCAGCTCAGCCGTAGAGACTCCCCCCACCCAGGTGACGCTGAAGGTATTGAGAAGCAGACACCCACATAGAACAGCAAAGTGGGTCTATCTGGGGGGCCAACAGCCTTCCACGCTGAGAGCCTCAGGGGCTGACAGCATTCCAAGCTGAAGGCCTTGAGCAGACTCTGAACCACTCATTTATTCTCTCTGAATAGGTGATGATTATTAACAAACAGATGTTCAGTATTTTCTCATAACACAAAAATAAACCAGATAGGCAGCTGGTGCCTGCTTACCACTGATCACAAACTAAAAAGTATTCTCCACAAGGGAGCCACAGGGGCAGGGTCAGATGTCCTGTGCTTAAAAAATTGTTTTAATCAGTGTATGATATTTATATATTGTCCTTCCACTTTAGAATGCCCTGAGTGGTTTTCTACTGGGCAGAGAGGGGAGAGCAGCTAGGTTTTCCTTGCCATCATTCTTCCTAGCAAACAATGTACTCTATCATACACTCAGCATTTCTCAGCAATCATACATTCAGCATTTCTCAACAGCCCACACCAGTATTCTTGGTGCTCAAATATTTGTTGAGTGAATGATGTAGGTAAACCACTTTGCACAGGGCAGAGCACAACCCATGCTCATGCAACACACATGATGTTCTGCCAGAGATGCTCCCTGCACGCTGCTTCTAACCCATCTGACATCCATCAACAGTCCTATTTGGCTCTCTCATGCAGATTTGCGAAGGGGGACTGTGGGATTGCAGTGGCAGCTAGAGACTTACTGTTGGTGTTGGAGCCTGCTGAGGGGCGGGCCCAGCCTGGGTGAGGTGCCAAGCTGATGAATTTCACACAGCAGGGGTAGAAGAGGCGGCTGGGTGCTGGTAAAGTGGTCCATGGGGGAGCTGGCAGGAAGCCGAAGATGCAACTTGCTTGGTTTGTTTCAGGAACTTTCCCAGGACTGGCCCAAGACCCAGGAAAGGAGGATGTTTTCTTTTTCTTTGTTCTGTATTCTCTTCCCTCCTGCTTGTGTGACTTTCTGTTGCCAAACCACAGAACCAAGCTTCATACAATTAATTCTACAGCTGGACATTTTGGATCGGATGAGCTCTTGTTCGCTGGAGAGAGAGCTGAACTACAAGTCAACACATTGTTTCTTTGAGAAATTCATTCTCAATTCCAAATAGATGATTAATGTCCTAGGTCTCAGAATGAAATCCATTCTGTGCCCTGTCCTGGAATCCAGACAAATCAGGGCTTGTGTGGGTGTATGTGGGGAGGAGCACGAGGGAGTTCTGTTTGCATAATAAAGACCTCATAGGACCCCCAAAGAAGAGTCAAGATAGACTATGGGACAGACAGCCCCAATGCAGAAAATTCTTAAACAGATTGGAGGGATGCAAAGGAAGGCCAAACATAGTTTAGCTCCTAACACTGCAAAAAGTTTTCTAGCAGGGGAGGAGCTCAACTGAAGAGTGTGTATGTATGCACTGGCTTGTCTGGAGGCACTGTCTTGAGAGTAGCCCTCTAAGTATTGTTCAGATTCCCAGGAAACCCTTAAGAAATCCAGTGGCACTGTCCCAGGGAAGGAAGGATACAAAACCAG